GAACTAGGCGCACCACCCCCAGAGGCAGCACTAACACCAGCTCCAGAACCAGGCTCACCTGAACCCGAAGGAGGCGCACCCTCACCCCCAGACGCAGCACCCCCAGTGTCCGCGCGGCCAGCACCAGCTCCCGGACGACAAGAGTCCTCTGCACCTACCGGGTCAGCTCCAACTCCAGAACCAGAAACTCCAGCTCCAACCCCAGCTCCAACTCCAGCACCCCCAGAACCAGAAACTCCAGTGCCAACTCCAGCTCCAACTCCAGCTCCAACTCCACCACCCCCAGAACCAGAAACCGGTACAGGAACAGGCACCGCACCAACCTCTCGAGAGCTAGCACCAGCGGCACGCTGCGAGGAGGACTGTGGGGAGGGAGGCTGTACCGGAGGGGCTACCGAAGGAGGAGGGGTAGCCTGGGACACACCTGACGGGGCTGGACCAGGTGGGGGAGGCTGTACCGGGGGAGCAGGAGGGGGAACGGCAGTCAGGAAGAGGGGGGGAGGAGGAACCGGGAGACCTCGACTGGGGTACCTGACGTAGTACGGAGTGGACTCCTCGAAACGGACGTCACGGGAGTCAAAGAACCGGTGAGAGGGAGGGTGGTAAAAGGTGAAGTCAGAGGAGTCCTCAGGGAAACCAAGGAAGACACAGGGGACGGCACGAGGCGAGAGCTTGTCCGCGGAGGTGTCGCGGACAAGAGCCAAGCACCCCCAGACACGAAACCGCGACGCAACACCAGGGGACCCTGTCCAAAGACTGGTCGGTGAAACCTCTGGTCGAGAGACACGTGGCCAGAGGTTCAGCTGGTGCGCGGCGTACCTGACCGCGTAGGGCCACAGAAAATGGGGGGCACAGGCGTGAGTCAGGGAGGTGCGGGCGATCTCCATGACCAGGCCTATGCGGCGCTCAGCAACCCCATTCTGCTGTGGGGACTCCGGAAGCGTCCAGGACTGACGAATGCCCTGCTCGCGACAGAATCCAGCGAGAATGCCGGAGCGAAACTCACCCCCACGGTCGGAGTGGAGACAGCTGACACGACGACCACGAGTGTCCTCAGTGGTGAGCAACCACCTGATCAGCGTAGAAGTCACCTCAGACTTCTTCGCCAGAGGGAACACTGTGGTGTAGTGGGAGAAGTCGTCAACTACCACCAGAAAGTAACGCTCACGCTCAGGGCCTAGACGAGGGGCTGGGCCCCAGACGTCCAAGTGAAGCGTCTCAAAAGGCTCGGTGGCCGGACGAAGGGAGGAGGAGTGAGGGGTGGCGCGCAGCCTACCCTCGACGCAGGGACGACACGGCGGCGCAGGCGAAGGCGGCAGCGACGGCAAGACACGTGGGAGGTCTAGGACAAGACGCTGACTAGACATAGCGCGCAGACGTGGAAGGGACGGGTGCCCCATCCGGTGGTGCCACAGAACGGTGGGGTGGGCAAGCGACCGGCAGGAGCACGACGCAGCGACTGGAACAGACGTAGGAACCTGACACGACACAGACACCTGGGGGGACGTAGCAACCTGGTGAGACGCGGGGACCCGAACGGGGGGGGGAACCGGGGGCAGTGGCAGTAGGGGGGGCTGCTGGTGCGGCCGCTGGTGCTGCTGCTGCTGCTGCTGCTGCTGCTGCTGCTGCTGCTGCTGCTGCTGCTGCTGCGGCTGCTGCTGCTGCTGCGGCTGCTGCTGCGGCGCACGCGGGCCAGTGTGAAGAGTGTAGAGACCCGAGCCCGGCTCAGCAGTAAAGGTAGCAAGAGGCTGGTAAGAGTCTCCGTCAACACACACCGCAGTCTCTCCAGAAGGCTCAAACCACACACCCACGTGCTGACTCACGAGGGGTCGCACGCCCACCAAGTTCCGGGAGAACGAGGGGACGTGAAACCCAGTGAGAGACCCGGAGGGAGCAGCAGGACACGGTAAAGTGGTAGTGTGACGTGCAGTGACTGGTCCCGTAGTGGGATCAGCCAACGCTACAGAAACAGGCGCAGGAAGTGGTGTAAGTGTCGTGCTGTCCCGAAAGAAGCAGTGGGAGGCTCCAGAGTCCAGTGTGAACGACAGCGAAGCGTCCTCTGAGGTAGTCGCTGGTCTAGAGTCTACACAAGTACCTACACTAGCAACAGGCAACTGAGCAAGACTAGCACCTAAGCTAACAACACCAGAGTAAACAGAGTCAGAAACACTAGAGTCAACAACAGCATACATAGCATGAGGAGCACTAATCAGATCAACTAACTGCTCAGCAGACATGCCCCACAGAGCGGAGCCGTGGCGCTGAACCAGAGGAAGCCAGTCAGGAGCAGGACCGCCAACCCCGTAGGTCAACCGGACCGTGTCAGTGAGCTGAGCAAAGCACTGACCAGGGGGGTGAAAGCGGCCACAAGGGTGGCCCCGACGAGGACCTGTCTGAACCTGGTAGGGGCAGGGAGGGTAAGCAGCACCGCGCTGGGGCTGACGCAGCCCCGACCCCGGAGCCAGCTGCTGACGCTGCTGCTGCTGAGGCTGCTGGGAGGAAAGGGGCTGCTGCTGCTGCCGAAGGTGCTGCTGACGCTGAGCCTGGTACCACGCCGCTGCTCCACCTAGCGGGGCCGGCAGTACAGGAGGCGACTGACGAGCTCGAGGGTCGCCGCCACCAGCAGGTGCAGTGGAGTCACCAGCCGCTGCACGAGGGGTCTCTCCAGACGCTGCACTCCCACCACCGCCAGTCGCAACAGCACCCCCACTACCTCCGCTACCTCCACCTCCACCTCCACCGGAACCACCTTTCTTGCCCCCCCTGCCGCGGGACCGCGACGCAGTCGTAACAGCAGCCGCAGTCGCGTCAGTAGCGGCAGTGGCAAGAGAGGCAGTGAAGGTGGGTAACTGCGGGACTGTGCACCCGTGGAAGAGTGGGGGGGATACAGTACCAGAGGCGGCAGCTACCGAACGAAGGTTGCTCTCGACATCCTTGAGTGCAGACTCAAGGACCTCGATAGTCAGCTCACTAGGGTGCTTCAGCAGAAGCGCGTCACGAACGGAGGCAAGGCGGTCAGGGAGGCTAGTGGCGATGAAATAGACAGTAATCGCCATGGGGGGAGGAAGCAGTGCAAGCTGTGCCTCAGTGCAAGCAGCGCGGTAACTAGCGTCAAGCGAGCGGAGGTGAGCGATCAAGTCAGCAGAGCGCTCAAACGAGGCAAGATCAGGAAACAGGAACGGGAGGAAAAGACGGCCGAGAGAGACAGTAGCGGGAGTAGAGTAGCGGGCCTTAATCGCAGTGAGGTACGCAGCAGCGGTGCAAACCTGAGTAAAGTGGACCTCCTCGGACTCAGGGAGGAGGCTGCTGAGTGCGATGCAGGCCGCAGCGTCACGCGACGTCCAAGCCGTCCGGTCAGCGCGCTGACGGGCAAAGCGAGCCGTAGCAGCGTCGTCAGGAGCAGGGCCTAAAGCGGTAGGCTCGGGGGGCTCGGGGAGGTCACCAGTAGCGTGTGACCAGAGGGTCTCGCCCCCTTGGACCTGACTCTCTAACAGACGACGAGCGCGAAGAAGCCAGACGGAAAAGTCAAGGGGTCTACCGTCAGCGTCGAAACGAAGAACTCGTGGAGTCGCCATAGTGAGAACCAACGCGAACGAACAGGCGAGTAACAACCGGGGGGGAAGAGGACTCAGTCGCAGCGGAAGAGCGGGCTAGGGCGACGGGCCAAAACGTAGGGTAGGGCAACGGGCCAGGGCCTAGGGTAGGGCGACGGGCCAGAGCCTAGGGAGGGCGACGGGCCAGGGCCTAGGGAGGGCGACGGGCTAGGGCCTAGGGAGGGCGACGCGACGGGGGAAAGGGCGGGAGCGACGCGACGGGGCAGGGCGACGCGACGGGACAGGGCGACGCGACGGGGCAGGGCGGCGCGACGGAGCAGGGCGACGGGACAGGGCAGGGCGACGCGACGGGGTAGGGCGACGCGACGGGACTGGGCGACGGGACGGGACGGGACGGGACAGGGCGACGCGACGGGACGGGACAGGGTGACGCGACGGGACAGGGCGACGCGACGGGACGGGACAGGGCGACGCGACGGGACAGGGCGACGGTACGGGACAGGGCGACGCGACGGGACAGGGCGACGGGACAGGGCAGGGCGACGCGACGGGACAGGGGGGAACAGGCGGGCGCGACGCGACGGGGGGAACGGGCGCGACGCGACGGGGGGAACGGGCGCGACGCGACGGGGCGAACGGGCGCGACGCGACGGGGGGAACGGGTGCGACGCGACGGGGGAGATGATGCTAGGCTCGGTACTAGGCGCGGTAACAACTAAACTAGTACGAACGAGAGGTAGGATCAGGCTCGGGAGGTACGAACGGAGAACGGAGGAACGGGATCCCACAGGATCCTAACCTAGCTGATACCATGTCAGAATGAGGAATGGATGTTGCATTGATGTTGGTTGGGGTACATATGACAAACCCTAACTTCTGTACCCCCTAAGACAAACCTCACTACAGGCTACAACATTTGACATCCTTGTACTCTTATATAAGCCTTTGTACTTGTTTGCTTCAATTAACTTACTTTGCCCTCATATACCAGCGCAAGGTGGTTCAGAATCTTCTCCTTAAAACGCTTCCGCTACTACATCACTTTACACAGAGTTTTCATCCTACTAAAGATCCTAAGGGGCATTCAGCCCAACAGTAACCAATCATTTTCCACCTCTCATCGTCAATCTTAATTCTCCATGTTACATAAAACCCATCACATACTGGCATGTCGTAATGTCATCCATCCATTCCGCCATCATTGCCTTTCCTTGCACACAAATAGAACCAAACAGACTACAACATGCATCCCATCTCATGCCCCCCTTCACTGAAACCTGCCGGCACCGCACCCAACCCATCTGCGCCTGCAGCTGTTTGGCCAGCTTGAGAGCAGCCAAGGCCCCCACCGTGTCTCCAACTCTCTTCAGTTCAACCGCCCTCCTCTTCTGCTCCATCACCTGCTGCTACACCAGCTGCAACTCCCTGAACCAACCGGCACCGCACTCAACCCATCTGTGCCTGCAGCTGTTTGGCGAGCTTGAGAGCAGCCAAGGCCCCCGCCGTGTCTCCAGCTCTCTTCAGCTCAACGGCCCGCCTCTTCTGCTCCATCACCTGCTGCTCCAGCGACTGTAATTCTCCCCCACTCACAACCCCACCCGCACTCCCACTCCCACTCCCACTCCCACTCCCACTCCCACTCCCACTCCCACTCCCACTCCCACTCACCCCACCACCTGACTTGGCAGCAGGCGCAGGTTTGGCTGGAGCGGGTTTGACCGGAGCAGGTTTGGCCGAAGCAGGCTGGCTGGTCTGGCGGCCGCCTGGAGCAGGTCCGGCGAGTCCGAGGCTACGGAGGTTCGCCATGAGAGCATCGTCGAATATACCCATATCATCATCATCATCCTCCTCTAGACCAAAGGACATGAAGGAGGGAGGAGGAAGAGGGGCGGGTCGTCTCTGGGGTGCTGTAGGTTTCAAGGGCTTGGGAGCAGCAGCAGCAGCAGCAGCTGCAGGAGGAGGAGGAGCAGCAGGAGAAGCAGCAGCAGGAGCACTGGCAGCGGTGCTACGGCCAGTGTTACAGCTGAACCCACTGTTACTGCTGTTGTTATCACTGTTACCACCGCTGCCACCACCTGTCTCTGCCAGCTGTTTCTCTAGTGCCTTTGCCTTCTTGAGCTCAGATAATGCCTCCCCCAGCTTACCCTCCCTCTTGAAACCCACCGCCCTTCTCCTGCACGCCTGCAATTCAGCCTCCATCTCTTCCCTGCTGCTCTCCCCTCCCTCGCTTCCTTCTCCATCCTTTTGTGCAGTTCCCGTGGCTGCTGTTGCTGCTGTGGCTGCTGTTGCTGCTGTTGCTGCTGTTGCTGCTGCTGTTGCGGCTGTTGCTGCTGTTGCGGCTGTTGCGGCTGTTGCGGCTGTTTCTCTTGCTGATTCCGTAGCTGCTGCTGCTGTGCTGCGCATTGATCCTGCTGCTGCAGAGGGCTTGAATGCATCAGGTGCAAGAACTCCATTAACTGCATCAGCTGTGTCAACTGCACTCTGTGATACTTCCCTGCTTCTTGATGTTCCTATCAACAGCTCCTGTTCTCCCTGCTGCTGCTGCTGCTGCTGCTGCTGCTGCTGCTGCTGCTGCTGCTGCTGCTGCTGCTGCTGCTGTTGCTGTTGCATGGCAGCAAGCAATGCAGCAACAGCAGGCGCCATGCTAGTAGCAATCACTGCAGCTCCCAATTGGCTCGTATCTGCACCACCAAACGTACCACCAATAGCACCATCAAAACTGGGCTTTCCATTATCCACTCCTGCACCCAACTGACTCGTGTCACCACCACCACCACCGCCGCTGCCACCAGCATCATCAGCAGCAGCAGAAGCACCACCACCACCACTAACGCCGCTGCCACTACCAACGACCTCTCTAGTCCTCTCACAGTTTCCGATATTTTCTTCCTCAGACTTTCCATTCCGAGCCTGTTCCACCCGAGCCTGGTCTGCCCGAGCCTGCAGTTCTTTGGCTCGTTTCAGCTGATCCAAGGCCTCCCCGAGCCTCCCTTCCCGCTTCAGCCCCACAGCAGCCAGCTTGCACTCCCGCGCCGCCGCCTCAAGTTCCTCGGCAGTTTCCGGCTCCTGGGCGGCAGGGCTTGTCTCCACTTTCTCCTCCCCTTGTTCATTTTGCAAACCTTCTCCTTTTACATCTGTCCTATCTCCTCCTCTCCTTCCATCTCCCCTGCCTTCTCCCCCCTCCTTCTCTTCATGTAATGACTCTGCTGCTTCCTCCTCTGCAGCCTCCTCCTTTTCCTTCCCTGCTTCCCGCGCCTCTTCTCCCACCCACCCAGCAGCAGCGAGAGCAGCAAGCATGTCCGGATCATCCTCGTCCTCATCCCCATCACCATCCCCACCAACATCCACTTCCTCATCATCATCATCACCACCCATGAGAATTGCTCGTATTCCCTCATCCATATCTGCTAATGCTGCCGGCACTGCTGCTGCTGCTGCTGCTGCTGGTGGTGGTGCTCTTGTTGTTGCTGGTGCTCCTGCTGCTACCACTTTTTGTTCCTCAGGCTTTTCATTCCAAGCCTGTTCCACCCCAGCCGGTTCCACCCGAGCCTGTTCCTCCCGAGCCTGGTCTGCCCGAGCCTGCAGCGCTTTGGATCGTTTCAGCTGATCCAAGGCCTCTCCGAGCCTCCCGTCCCGCTTCAGCCCCACAGCAGCTAGCTTGCACTCCCGCGCCGCCGCCTCAAGTTCCTCGGCAGTTTCTGGCTCCTGGGCGGCAGGACTTGCTTCCACCTCTGCCGCCTCTTTCCCTTCTTCCTCCTCTGCTTTGCTTGACTCTTCTCTCACCCACCCAGCAGCAGCGAGAGCAGCAAGCATGTCCGGATCATCCTCCTCCTCATCCCCATCAACATCATCATCATCACCGCTCATCAGGATCGCTCTTATTCTCTCATCCATATCTGCCAATGCTGCCGGCACGGCTGCTGGTGGTGGCCGTGGTGCTGTTGCTCCTGCTCCTCCTGCTGCTGCTGATGCTGGTGCTGCTGGTGCTCCTGCTGGCACTGCCACAGGCGTTGGCTGCGCTGCTGCCACTGAAGCCGCACCTCCTGCCACCCCTGCTGTTGCTCTTACCGTTGCTGCAGCAGAAGCAGCACCACCACGCCCCATAGAAGAATCACGGCCCATGGAATCCCCTCCCGCGCCCAGCATGATAGCCGCCTCTATCCGCGCCTCTAGGCCCTTGGCGCGCCTTAAAGCCTCCATCGCCTCTCCCATCCGCCCCTCTCTCTTAAAGCCCACCGCTTTCCTCTTCCAATCCAACGCCTCTGCGTGCATTGCTGCTACATCCACCTCCTCTTCTTCCTCCTCCCCTCCCTTCTCTCCTTCTCCTCCTCCCTCTCCCTCATCCCCTTCCTCATCTGATTCCCACCCAAGTGCCTTCAGTTCATCCATACACTCCCCATCATCATAAGCACCTCCCATATAGTCACCCCCTCCCCGCCCTCCCCTCCTCCCCCCTCCACCCCCTCCAGAAACACCATCTATCCCCGTTCCTCCCCACTCCTCCTCCTCCTCGTCTCCTATATTAGCGATTAAAGACATAATCTGCGCCAGGTCTAGATCCGCTCCTCCGCCTCTTCCGCCCATACCTCCGCCACCTCTCCCCATCCCCCCCATCCTTAAATCCGTCTCCTCCACTAGTGCCACGTCATCGACACTTGTCAGCCCGAGACTGGCGAGCAGCCGTTTCTCCTCGTCATCATGCCCTCCCTCCGCGCCGTCCGCTAGGTTTAATAAGAACGAACCGTCTTCTATTTCTTTCTCAAGCTTCTTAGCCTTTCTTAGTTCCGCCAGCGCCTCTTGAACCTGCCCCTGCCCCTTAAGTTGCCTCGCCTTGCGCTTTAGGTCCAATACCTGCGCTTCTGCTGCTTCGCGCGCCGCGCTCACCTCGTCCTGCTCCGCCGCCGCCCCGTCCACGTCATCAAGTCCGGCCAAAAGGCCCCCGCCGCCAGCTCCCCCCGCTGGTTCCGCCCAACCCAGATCGCGCAGTTGCGCCATAATCTCCCCGTCGTCGTCCCCACCAGCGTTCAACCGCGCTAGCCCCTTCCGCTCCGCCTTCACGCCTTCCGCTGCCGCGACCTTGCGCTCCCCTGCTCTTGCGCTTGCAGCTCCGGACTTACCCGCCCCGCCCGCTTTCCCCGCACCCGCGGATCGAGCCTCCGCTTCCGCCTCGCGAGATCTCGCTGCCGCTACGCGTTTCCCTCCCGCCCCGCGCGCGCCAGCCGCTGCGCCAAGCGCGTTTCCGCGCGCCATGGCTTCCTGCGCTATCTCTTCCGCCTCCCGGGACGCGCCCGCAAGCGCGGCAGCGGTTGCGGCGGCGGTTGCGGTGGCGGTTGCGGCGGCGACTGCGGCGGAGTCGTCCTTGTCCTTGGCGCGCTTCTCAAGCTCGCGAGCGGCTTTCAGCGCCTTCTGCGCGCCCGCGTACAGCCCCGCCTCGCGCATCGCGGAAGCTTTGGCGCGCTGATCCTTCGCCTGCGCGCGCAGAGTCTCCGCGGTGACTCCGTCATCAACCGCAATACCTAACTCGCCTAAGACGCTCCCGACATCGGTTCCATCCGAAGCGCCTTCTGCTCCCGGTGCCACGTCAGCACCCGCGGTTCGCGGTTTCTTGGTGGCCGCTGCTGGTCGATTGTTTGCGTTCTTTTTGGGCGGCGTCTTGTCCTCATTCCGCGGCCGCCCGAAGAAACCGAACATGGCTGCCTTGAAACCAAAGACTTTCTAAAAGAGCTGGAACAAACACGCGCGTTTCTAGGAGGCTCTTCGGAGGTTCTCAGACCTGGAATGCCGCTCTAGCTTTCTGACAGTTATTAAATTTCGTATCACTTTCAGGAAACTCTGAATTCCAGGTTCTGTAGGTCCTTGACCTTGAATCTAGATTCTAGGTGCGGTGGAAAAAGGTGGGGCTTTTTATAGCGAGGTTTTCGATAAATGCAGCTTTGGGACCTGAAAACATTGAAATTCTAGCCCACAAACTTTCCATCAATTGGGCGGGCTATACGCAGTATCGAGCCATTGTTTCTAGGGTTTATGAAGGTTCTGGGTGCGTGGCCTTGAAGAAATCGGAGCAGGGTTCTACAATGGCTTTTGCTTGGCTTTGCTTTGAGAAATGCTTTACGATGGAATCTAGGTTCCTGAATTTCGAAGGGAAGCCATAACTTGTCCTTCGAAATTAGTCCAGTCCAATCCGGTGATGCTGTTATGCTCTCATCCCTAGGGATTGCGCAGCATGTATAGCGTTGCTTAGGCTTCAACCTGAACATACGCGTCCGTTAGTATCGAGAACATACACGCGCTTCAATCAGCACATTAGCGTCGGTGCGATTCGCGAGTTATTCATATCCCGGCCATAGGTCACGAATCCTGGTTAAGATCTCGCGATTCTTCTACTATTTTTGGGTATCGTTGCACGTAGCTGCTGCGAGGAAACGCCTATTTCGTCAGCCATTCTACTGAAGCTCTCCAAGCTCTGCCATTCCTTTAGAGGAATTCGTAACCTAGCGAACTTAGCGGGCATTCTCTTCGGCGCGTAACAACAGAGCCATTATTTTGAAACACGTTATAAGTCAGTCGTTTTCCCGAGCCGCTTTAGCCACTACCTATTCTGCAAGGCTGTTAACTCAGCCATGTCGCAGCTGTATCCGCGGCTCCAGGTCTTACCCGAGGAGCTCGCGGCGCTCCAGTACCATCCGAAGTGCATCCGGAACATCTGCGTCCTCGCGCACGTGGATCACGGAAAGACCACGCTGTCAGACCACTTAATCGCCAGCAACGGTCTAATCCACCCGCGGCTCGTCGGAAAGCTTAGATTCTTGGACTGGCGGGAAGATGAGCAGCGGCGCGGGGTTACTATGAAAAGCTCGTCGATTGCGCTGCTGTTTAAACGGCACGCCGCGTCGCCGGGTGGGACGGCGGGGGGAAAGGCGCAGCAAGCGGAGGGCGGAGTGGAAGGGGGGAAGGGGGGAGGCGTGGGGGAAGGCGGAAAGACAGGGCCGCAGAATGGTTTGGATGATAAATATCTGATCAACCTCATTGACTCCCCGGGACACATTGACTTCTGCAGGTAACGATTTTGCTTCCCAAGCTTGGCCGTTGTTGCAGTGAGGTGTCAACAGCAGCGTGTGTGTCGGATGGAGCAGTGGTGCTGGTTGATGCATTGAAGGGGGTGCACATTTAAACACACGCAATGAGGCTCTTTTGAAGTCTGCACATACAGACGCACGCCGTGAGACATACGACGCCGTGCTCCCACTCCTCTCTCTCCTATCTCCCATCTCCCATCCCCCTCCCCACATTCTGCTGCCCTGTGCAAGCACAGTGAGGTGTCAACAGCAGCGCGGGTGTCGGATGGAGCAGTGGTGTTGGTGGATGCAGTCGAGGGGGTCCACATACAGACGCATGCAGTGCTCTCACTCTCTCCCTATCATTGACCATTCCCCTCCCACTTCTGCTGAACAGTGAGGTGTCAACAGCAGCGCGGGTGTCGGACGGAGCAGTGGTGTTGGTGGATGCAGTCGAGGGGGTCCACATACAGACGCATGCAGTGCTCTCACTCTCTCCCTATCATTGACCATTCCCCTCCCACTTCTGCTGAACAGTGAGGTGTCAACAGCAGCGCGGGTGTCGGACGGAGCAGTGGTGTTGGTGGATGCAGTCGAGGGGGTCCACATACAGACGCACGCTGTGCTGAGACAGGCCTGTCTGGAGCGCCTGCAGCCTGTACTCGTTATTAACAAGATGGACAGGCTTATAACGGAGCTGATGCTCACTCCTGCGGAGGCCTACGAACGGCTCAAGGTGGGTTAGAGGCACAGGTGTGAGTTTGTAGTTATACCTGAATTGACAAGATTTCTTAAAACCCTTGTGGTGACGTGTGTTGTCTCTTTTCTCATTCATCTCTTCACACTGGCTGGCTTCTGCCAACCCCCGATCTTTTCAGCACCCCCATGTTTCTTTAAACATTAAATCCAAAACTCCGAACGGCAAACCACGAAGTTTTCAATCTTGTGATGTGAGTCCCACATCCCCCCTCCCCCCCACCTTAACCCCTACCCCCCAACCCCTCCCGCCCCACCCCTCTTGACAGGGCATAATCACGGAGGTCAACAACATCATCCACGCATTCCGCTCCGAGAAATACATGTCCCACGTGGACTCCCTCTCCCTGCCAGCTGGCGCCACGTCAGCAGGCCATCCAGCTGACGCCGACGGGGAAGCAAGCGGGGGAGGAGCAGGAGAAGGGCAAGGGAGGGGGGTGGGGGAGGGGGAGGAGGAGGAGGATGAGGAGGATGTGTTTTCCCCAGACAAGGGGAATGTGGCATTGGCAAGTGCAGTGGATGGGTGGGCTTTAAGAGTGAATGACTTTGCAGCCATGTATGCAAGAAAGCTTGGGGCGTCTGAAAATGCCCTCATGAAGGCTTTGTGGGGGGACTGGTGAGTCGCTTATATACTTGTTATATCTCTGTGTGTATGCACACGCAAGTGAGGGGTGGATGATTTTTTTCTGGCCATGCATGCTAGAATTCGGGGGGCATTAAGAAAGTTCCTTCCGCATGTTTGTTTGATGGGAGATGGTAAGGTTTTGAGGGGCAGTTGAGAGCCTCTTTGTATGCTTTGAAGGATAATCGTGAAAACCTTTGAAGGCTTGCTTCTCTCTGCATTCGAGCCACACTAATCGTGCTTTTATCCTCCTCTTGCCCCTCCTCCTCAGGTACTATATTCCCAAGACCAAGAAAATTCTGAAAAAGAAAGCAGCGCAGGCGGCAGTGGGCGGCGCATCTTCGTCTGCCGCCGCCCGGCTGCGGCCGATGTTTGTCCAGTTTGTGCTGGAGCCCGTGTGGCAGATCTATGAAGCTGCCGCCCAGGGAAGCAACAGTAACAACAGCGGCAACAGCGGCAGTAACAGTAGCAATGCAGACAAATCCAATCCGATTCTCGAGAAAATCATATCTTCGCTGGGTCTGTCTGTGCCGCCCAAAGATCTCCAGCACAAGGATCCTCGCACCGTCGCCCAATCAGTGATCGCCAGGTGGCTGCCTCTCGCGCCCTGCATTCTATCCATGGTGGTGGATTGCCTTCCCGACCCTGTTGCCGCCCAGAAAGACAGGCTCGGGTGCTACCTGCCGAATCGGCCCGCCGTACCAGCTTCGTTAGACAGGTCTGGGGAAGCGGGAGCGGGAGAGGAGGAGGGAGGGGAGGAGTCGGTGTTGCGCCAGGTGGCGGCGGTTGATAGGGCGGTGGAGACGTGTGATTCGAGCGAAGAGGCCCCGTGTGTGGTGTTTGTGTCTAAGATGTTTGCTGTGCCATATGAAATGCTTCCAAGGGAGGAGCAGAGAGCAGAAGAGGAAGCAGCTGCTGCAGCAGCAGCAGCAGGAGGAGGAGGAGGAGGAGCAGGAGGAGGGGGAGGAGCAGTGGGGGGAGGAGTGGGGTCGGGAGGAGATTTAGCTTCAGTGGACGATTTAGGAGTGTCAGTGCGTGATCGCGACTTCTTTTTCGCGTTTTCCCGTGTCTTCTGCGGGCGGCTGCGGGCGGGGCAGCGCGTCTTTGTCCTTTCCCCGCTCTACGACCCGTGCCGCCCGGCGACGTGGGCACGGCACAGACAAGAGGCGCAAGTGGGCGCACTGTTCATGATGATGGGGCAGGGGCTGCAGCCAATCAGCAGCGTGCCAGCTGGCAGCTGCGTGGCGATCAAGGGATTAGAGGCGTGCATTCTGAAGAGTGCGACTGTGTCTTCAACTCCCTACTGCCAGCCATTCGCTTCCATGGTGTTCCAGGTGAGGCATCGACAAGGGCAATGGGCGAGAAGGGAGCGAGGGGAAAGAGGGAAACTGCGTGGCGATCAAGGGGTTAGAGACGTGCATTCTCAAGAGTGCTACTGTGTCTTCCACGCCCTACTGCCAGCCATTCGCCTCCATGGTGTTCCAGGTGAGGCGTCGTAAGGTTAACGTGCGAAATGAAGGGGCGAAGTGTAAGGCTATCAAGATCTGCTGCTTGTATGGCGATCAAGGGATTAGAGGCGTGAATTTTGACGAGTGCTACTGTGTCTTCGACTCCCTACTGCCAGCCATTTGCGTCCATGGTTTTCCAGGTGAGGCATTGTAAGCTCAGAGGGCGAGGGGCAAAGGGCGAGAGTGGAAAGGGGGAAAAGAGACTCTGTGTGGCGAACAAGGGATTGGAGGCATGGCTTTTAGAAGAGTGCCACTGTGGCCTCAACTCCCTACTGCCAGCCGCTTGCCTCCATAGTGTTCCAGGTGAGGATGCCTGTGAGGAAGGTGGGTGCGGCAGGGCAGGTAAGGTGCTTGTCGAGCGACGCATCAAGGACCTGCAGGAGAGCTCTTCACCCTCTCTTCTCAACAATCACACTCCATTCTTCCCTCCCTCTCCCACGCCTTCCACAGCCAGAGGACCCTCGCCATCTGCCCCTCCTCGCCCAGAGACTGCGCCTTCTCAACCGCGCAGAACCTTTGTGGAAGTGGAGCTGGCTCGCTCCGGAGAGCATGTGGTGGGGGCGGCGGGGGAGGTGCATCTGGAGCGGTGCATCAAGGACCTGCAGAGCCCACCTCACTCACTCGTCTCAACAAGCACTCTCCACCCTTTCCTGCCTCCATCCCTCTCCCACCCGTACCCCAGGCTGCCCCTATTGTCCGTGTCGCCATCGAGCCAGAAGACCCTCGCCACCTCCCCCTCCTCGCACGCGGCCTCCGTCTATTAAACCGTGCCGACCCCTTCGTAGAAGTCGTACTGGCTCGCTCAGGGGAGCACGTGGTGGGAGCAGCAGGGGAGGTGCATCTGGAGCGGTGCATCAAGGACCTGCAGGAGCGCTTCGCCCGCATCAAGCTCGTCGTGTCCAAGCCCATCGTTTCCTTTCGAGAAACCATCGCCCCCTCGGGATATGCGACTGGCTCTGCTAGTGCGAGTGCATCCGGGTCTGAGAGTGCGTTGGTGTTTCCTACCACGGTGCTTACGGTTACCACCACTCCGGGACCCCCTCCTAGCCTCTCATCACTGCCTGGTGCTGGTGGTGCTGGGGTTGATGGGATGAACAGCAGTGGGAACTCAGCATCCCCCTTAGCAGCAGCTTCGTTATCTCACCTAGCAGCGCTGGCAGCAAATTCTGCTGCGTCTGCTGCCTCTGGAGCGGCCATACCACTAGGCTTCGGCCTTGGTTACGCGCTTGCGGTTACCACCACAAGCACTGGTTTTGCTGCCGGTGGCAGTGCTGGTAATAGCATTAGTGGCAGCGGTGCTGGTTCCATGGGTAACCCTGCTCATCCCTCATCAGCAGGAGCGGGAGGGGGAGGGGCGGCAGCAGGGGCAGGTTTACCCGGGGGAGGTGCTTTCTGGACGGAGCTCTGGGCGGCAAACGGGCGGTGCCGGGTGAGGGTGCTCATTGAGAAGCTTCCTGGAAAGCTGGCAGCGGTTTTGGAGAGAGAAGGGGAGACTCTGAGGGATGCGCTTGTTGAAGAGGGAGGAGGGGTGGGGGGCGGAGTCAAGGGAGGAGGAGGAGGAGGAGGAGGAGGAGGGGCAGAAGGAGCAGGAGGGGAAGGAGAAGGAGAAACGTCAGCACCATCAGAAAATTCAACTCAGTCAATGCAGTCAATGCAGCAGTCAAGGCAGTCAGCCACTCTAGCATCCCTAAGGCAACGCCTCCTAGAAGCCATAGACGAGGCAGACATAGACGAGGGCTTGGACGCATCTGGGGGAGGATCATCTGCCGCCTCTGCTTCTGCCGCTGCCTCTTCGTCTTCATCTGCAGGGAACCAGCCAATGGGAGCGGAGGCGAGGCGGGCGGCAGTGGCGGATTTCCAGGCGGCATGGAGGAGCAAACTGGAGAGAATCTGGTCGCTAGGGCCGAGACACGTCGGCCCAAACTTGCTCCTTGCTCCCATTCCTGTGAATCCCAGTGGGAATAGTACAGATAATTCTAGTGGGAACAGTACTGGTCATTCTAGGTCAGGCGTTTCTGGGAGCTTGCCAGCTGGTGGTGTGGTTGTTCCCGGGCTGCCGGAAGCTTCCTGGAAACTCGGGCTGGCAAGCGCAGGTGCTGTGCAAGGTGGTGCGGAAGGAATGGGGAAAGGGGTGGGAGGGTCGAATGGTGCGGTTAGTGCAGCAGATGGGGAGGAGCGGGAGGAGAAGGAGGAGAGGGAGAGTGGTGCTGTTGTTGGTGATGCTCCTGTTAGCCCCTCTAGTGCGCCAGAGCATGAAGTGGTGCTGCGGAACGAAGCCGCTGGTGAGACGTCTCAAAAGGAACATGATGACGTGGCACTGCAGCACGAAGCGGAGGGATTGGCCGGGTCGGTGGTGAGTGGCTTCCAGCTCGCCACGTCAGCAGGCCCTCTGTGCGAGGAGCCCCTGTGGGGGCTGGCGTTCACTGTAGAGGTTGTGATTGTAAAGGGCGCTGGCCGCCCAGGAGCAGCCTTCAGTAGTATCACTAGCAGCAGCAGCGGCACCAGCAGCAGCGAGCAGCAGGCTAGTGACGACACAGCACCAGCACAGAACGTGCCTGCATCGAGTGTGCCTATATCAGGGCAGGTGATGAGTGCAGTGAAGGACGCGTGCAGAGCAGCAGTAGCAGCCAACTCCCCTCGGCTGGTAGAAGCCATGTTTCTGTGCGAGGTCACCACCACCACTGAGGCATTAGGGGCTGTGTATGCGGTGCTGGGGAGGAGGAGAGCAGCCGTGGTGAGGGAGGAGATGAATGAGGGATCGGGGATGTTCACTGTGCATGCGCATTTGCCCATGGCAGAGTCGTTTGGGTTTGCAGAGGAGTTGAGAGGCAGGACGTCCGGTGCTGCCAGCCCGCAGGTAAGCCGCAGTAGCCCTTCCCCCTTTTTCCCTTCCCGGTTCTCCCATTCCCCTTTCCTGGTCCCCCTTACTCCTTAGACGATCTGGGTATTCTGTGGTGAGACGACTTGAAAGAGCTCTTTCAGGTGCCACGATCTTGCGGGGCAGCGACTGTTGTTTAGATCAGACGTTTTGGCCAGCTGTGTCTGACTTTCGTGTCGACTCAAAAGTCAGTCAGCTACTTGCTGGGCAGCGACTGTTGTTCAGATCAGAAGTTTTTTTTAGCTGTGTTTGCTGTGTGCTTGAGTTGGGCGGCAGTGAGTCATCAGCAGAAAAGAAGTCATTAGATGTGGGTGGCCAGGAAGTTGAACGAGGGGAGGCATGAGCCATGCTCATTACTGCCCACAATCAAAGTGTTAACTTGTATCTTCTCTCATAACTTAGGCTTAGAAGCGATACATTAGTAATGAGCTTGAAACTCTTTAAGTACATCCAAGAAAGGGAGGGAATGGATGGGGAAGGGAATCGGGGGCAATCCATAGGGATTGGGGGTAATCCCAAGGCAATCTCCAATTGGTGGGTTGGAGATTGCTTGGAGATTACATTTGGGTTTGGTTGGGATGTAGGTGTACACCCAACCAAACACAATGTGCAAACTACACTACTCTAGGATATAGAAAATACAAAGTACAAAGTGTGAGATTGAAGGCTAACACTAACACCCCCCCATAGGCGTCAATCGAACTCATGGTAGAGAGGGTGGTGCACAGAGCCCCATGGCGCCTAGGAGACGGTGGTGTGGAACTTTCCCAAGGGGCTTGATGAACAGATCAGCCAGGTTGCAGTCAGATGCAACGTATTCCACTTTCAGCTGCTCCTGTTGGACAAGGTCACGGATGATGAAGTGCCGAAGTTCAATATGCTTGGTGCGGGTGTGATACACAGGGTCTTGAGAGATGTGGATGGTACTCTGGTTGTCACACCAGAGGGTGGGGGCGGACTGTGGGAAACCAAGCTCCTGGAGTAGGAAGGTGAGCCAACGAGCCTCCTGAGCAGCCATGGTGCCTGCGTAGAGCTCTGCCTCACAGGAGGAGAGGAAGACTGCAGACGACCTGGTGGAGCGCCAACTGACAATTCCGCTCGCAAGGGTGAAGCAGTACCCCTGAGAGGAGCGTCGGTCTGTCTGGTCATCAGCCCAGGAGGAGTCGGTGTAACCTTCCAGGCGAGGAGGGGATAGCCCACCGAGTGTGAGAACGTGAGACTTGGTGCCCTGAAGATAGCGCAGCACCCGCTTCGCCGCCTTCCTGTGAAGATCAGTGAAGCGTCCAGGGGCCACGTAGCGAGAGAGGACACTGACAGGATAGGCCAAGTCCGGTCGGGTGCACATCATGGTGTACATGAGGGACCTAACAATCCGGGTATGGCTCGGAGCAGGCCTCTGGTGTGGGTACAGCTGGAGCAGTGAAGAGGTGTTGCAGCGGCAGCGGGGTGGCAACAGGTGTGCACATCTCCATCTCAAACCGCTTGAGCACATTGTCGATGTAGAACTCCTGGGAGAGTGAAATGGTGCGAGCCTGGCGATCACGAGTGATCTCCATCCCCAGGTAGTGCTTGAGGTCACCGAGGTCTTTCATCTGGAGAGCCTTGTTCAGGGCTGCCTGGACAGAGGTCATCTGGGCCGAGTCCTTGGCAATGAGGATGAAATCATCCACGTAGACCAGGATGTAGAATGGCTCAGAATGACGGCGGATGAAGAGAGTCGGGTCAGCAGTTGAAGGGTGGAAGTCCAGGGAGAGGAGGACTTCTTTCACCTTGTTGTGCCATTCGCAAGGGGCTTGCTTAAGGCCGTAGACGGGGTGATTCAGCTTCTAGATAGTGTTGGGAGGGAATTCTCCTGGGAAGCCTTCTGGTCTGTCCATGAACACCGTCTCCTTGAGACGTCCTTGTAGGAAGGCGGATGAGGCATCCATGGATTTGATCTCAAAGTCTTCTCGAGCTGCGACATCCATGAGCGTACGAATGGTGGGAGGTTTGGATGTGGGGGAGAAGGTTAGGAAGAAGTCGCGGTACTGCTGCTGGGTGAAGCCCTTGGCTACGTAACTCGCTTTGAACACCGGGGCCTCGTCTGGGAGTTGTTTTACACGGAACAACCACTTGCCCCCGACGATGTTGACTTCTGGAGGTGGTGTCTCGTTGTCGAAGGAGTGGTTGCGGGTGAATGCTGCAATCTCCGCTTCCATGGCAGCACGCCATTCGGCAGCATGAGGGCCTGAGAGAGCCTCTTGGACGGTGAGAGGGATAGGGATGGTCGGGTTCTCCGCGAAGTTGAGGGAGGGTGAGACAGTGATGTCGGGGAAGATGTGCGAGAGCTGAGGAATGACTGCATGAAGATCACACAGCTCCTCATGCCTGTCTTCCAGAAGGGTAGAGGGCACATCCCCCCCATCAGGAGGAGGCGGTGTGATCGCCGTGTATCGAAGAACCAGCGCTAGTGGAAGAGCCGCGCCATGCGAACGAGTGCCATGAGCCACCGGAGAAGAGGGTGGGGCAGGCGGTGTCGGAGGGGTTGACTTAGGAGGCTTGGGCGGGGGAATGGGCCGCCGGTGGTACGTGATCAGCTCGGGCGATTGTGGGAGAGCGGGTTCCTCTGTGGTGGGGGGAACCGGGGGAGGAGGTGGGGCCGGAGGGTGGGACCGCCAATGGTAGGTGATAGGTGCGCTCGGAGGTGGCTGCACAGTCGGCGGAGTGGGAAGTGAGGGGGATGGAGGAGCAGCTGCCGAAGACACCGGTGAGGGCGGGTCAGAGACCGCAGAGGGGGACGGTGCGGTGGCAGGAGGGGTAGGGGGTGAAGGGGCCGGAGCAGGCGAGAGGTCAGGAGGCGCATCAAAGTCTGCCCGCACGAGGGAGGGTGGGTGAGGGAGAGGGTCCCGTCCCGAAGTGGAGTAGAATGGGCGGGTCTCATGAAAGACAACGTCGCGGCTCCGGACCAACTGCCGAGTGGAGGGATTGAGGAAGAGGTAGTCAGGCGAGTCAGCGTTGTGTCCGAGGTAGATGCATGTCTGGGTCTTGGGACCGAGCTTGCCGCCGTGCTGCCGTCGAGCCTGAGGGTTGAGGAGGACATAGGCGGTGCACCCCCAAATGCGAAGAGAGCAAGCAGTGGGCGTTTTCCCGAGCCAGAGTGTGGTTGGAGTGGTGTCGGGAAGATGTGGGTGGGGGTAAAGGTTGTAGAGGAGGGCGGCGTGGTAGAGAGCGTACCCCCAGAGAGAGTGTGGAGCGTTGGAGTGGCTGAGGAGGCACTGAGTGATCTGCACCAGGGTGTGGTTGCGGCTCTCAGCTATGCCGTTCTGCTGCGGGCTGTTAGGGAGGGTGAAATTTTGCTGGATGCCTTCTGAAGAGCAGAAGGCTTTGAGCTTGTCGTTGCAAAACTCACCACCACCATCTGAGTGGAGGCGCTTGACTTTGCGGTCAAATGCGGTCTGTGCCTGTTTAACCCACGCCATGAGGACCTCTGGAACCGCAGCTTTAGTGTGGAGGAGGTGAACAGAGACGTAGCGAGAGTGGTCATCGACGATAACAAGGAAGTAGCGATAACCACCTCATGCGGGAACAGGGGCAGGGCCCCAGACGTCCAGGTGTACCAGGTCCAGTGGTCCTACTGCGACAGAGGGTGAGGCCGGGTGGGGCTGTTGACGCAGTTTGCTCTTGGTGCAGTCAAGGCACGTGGGAGCGGGGGAGTCTGGTGGTGGAGGAAGTGAGGCTGGCAGGCCGAGTAGAAGTTTATTGGAGGCCATGTCAGCAAGTGTGCGGAAGTTTGGGTGCCCGAGCCGATGGTGGTAGAGTATGGTCGGGTTGGAGAAACTGCGGCACGAGCATGGTAAGGTAGTCGCCGCTGTTTGGGTGGCTGACACCTGTGGGATGGGTACTTGCAGCGTGTAAAGGCCGCTGCTGTTGAGGGTGAAACGAGTCAAGACCTTGTTGGTGAGTGGGTCGAGGATATCACCATAGTTCTCGTTCTCCCAGAAGATGGTGCGTAGTCTAGCTTCCTGAATTTCCGTTTGGACCACGAGATTGTGGCGGAGTGAAGGCACGCACATTCCAGTGACAGTGCCGGAAGGGAAGGCGGGGCACGGGACTGTGGATGAACCCTTGGCATGAGTGGTGAAGCTTGAGTCAGCTCCTAGGAGAGGGATGGGTGTTGCGTAGGGTTTGAAGGAGAGTGTCTCCTTGAGTATAGTGTGTGTGGCGCCGCTGTCGAGTGTGAACTCTATGTATTGTGGTGCTTGTGATGAGCCGAGGTACTGGGAGGAAGCTTCATTAATCATGGCAGTGTCAGGGAACAATAGGTTGATACGGGCATTAGCAGGAGCACTATCACTAGCACTAGCCGAAGCGGGGTCCTGGACCTCAACCAGGTTGGCCTTACGCGCACGCATCCAGTTCGGTGGCCTCTTGTCTATGCCGTGGATGGCGTGTCAGTAGATCTGCACTGTGGATGCCCGATTGATCCTGGAGAGGGTTACAGGCGCGTTCGCCTTGGGGGTTATGGGCGCACTGACCCGCTACTGAAACAAGTCCTTTTATCCCAATGGTTTAGTGGTTGGGATTCTTACATGGTATCAGAGCGGTCTCGGGTTCGATTCCCGGTGTATGCACATGTAGGCCGGTGCCGCTGTGCTTAGTCCTGGGCCTCCCAGTGTGGGGGGGTGTCAGTAGATCTGCACTGTGGATGCCCGATTGATTCTGGAGAGGGTTACAGGCGCTTTCGCCTGGGGGGTTATGGGCGCACTGACCCGCTACTGAAACAAGCTCTTTTATCCCAATGGTCTAGTGGTTGGGATTCTGACATGGCGTACCATTCGTCGTTCTTCTTGAAGTACGTAGCAAGGGGGTGGTTAGTGCCACCACACACTTGTCCCTTGCGGTTGCCATACTTGACGACGTAGGTGCACGGTGGGAAGCGGTTGCGCTGGAGGGGCGCCGAGGCAAGGGCCGATGCGACACTGGCTTGAGGCATGGGAGCACGGATAGCGTAAGCCTTGGCCTGAGCCGTGGAGTCTTTCTCGGCAGAGAGGAGTGCGGTGGAGACCTTGGCAAAAGTGAGGTCTTCCGCAGTCAGCGTGAGGAGCATCTTC